AGATATTCGAAAACGCTAAAAAGAGCGTTTCGAGGTTTCGAGCGTCGCGTTTTCAGCATTTTATAATTTTTTAAGAAGTTTTGTGCCAATTTTTATACACGTGCGCACACACACACATCCGTACTTTAAGGTTAGCGAATATCTAGTCTTTCGGGAATCATCGGGTATATGGCGGAAACACCCGACGGGGTCCTATCCTAGAAAGAGACAGCACTACACCCCCCTTACCGCAAATTAAACACCCAAATTGCCTTGCGCTCCATCCATTGATTCTTAGATCCATGGTGCAGCCGCTTTATATTATGCTTTGTTATGCATTTGACATTTCATGTATGTACTCCGAGTTTGACAGTTTGACTCCGAGCGGTTCGAGCTTACAGGTTAACATCGGCTGCGTTTAGCCGAAAAAACAGCTTTGCAACTGTTGTAAAATTCTTTAATATGATTGGTTTATACATTTAGATCCATGAAGAACTAAGAGCAAAAACCAATTACGTTGAAGAATCTTACAACGGTTGCAAAGCTGCTTTCTCTGCTGATTGCTGAACGCAGTCATTCATACTGTTTCACACTTCGTGGCGCGAGCGGACGTCGGCGCTGCGGGCTGCCGTGCGGGATGCGCCAGGATCCTGATATCTCCTAATCGGTGGGGTACTGGGGTCGGCGGAGTGTTCACGGGTGCGTCGCGGAATGTCGTCTGAATCTCGGGATCGCGTACCGTAAAAGCCGGCCCAGAGCTCCCGGGGAGCTTTCTCGTTGGCAGAACGGATATATATGCCGTCGAGCAAGCGTATCCGGACAGTAACAGCGTCCGCGAACTTTCCGGGCATACGGTATAGTGATACTGATACGTCGTCCCGCCGTGCGGACGACGCACTTTCAGACGTTGGGATTCTAGATATCGAGAGGGTCGAGGAGCATCGGCAGAGAAAGAAGAGAGAGAGAAAGAGAGAGAGCAAGAGAGAGAACGATCCGAAAAAGAAAAGTACGCAGGGACGCCATTCTCGCGGTGCTTTCCGAATTCCGAATTTGCTTCCGAGAGTTCTGAGTGCCAAGGATTAGACTATGTTCTCGCTGTAGTAGGTTAAGATACTTGGTTTGGGATCCTGACCGCGGCTTCGTAGATGAAGATGAGCGGGGAAATGTTCGAGGGGAAAGATTATCCGACTCAGTGGGCGCTCAATCCCTCCGCTTATCAAAACATGAGTAACGATCAAGGTACATACATACAGCCTTGGATTGGCACAAATCTCTCTTAGCCCCCGTAGTATATTTGTATCCGCTCTGTTCCGGCAACAAAGACCGCCGTACATGAAGATGCGTATAAAAGCTATACGAGTGTGATTAGCATACAGTAATTTGGCAGATGAAATATTCAACGTACATTCGGACGGACGACGTCGACATTTAGGTGTTTTGTTCTAGAAATTTGTATTATTAGATTCAGCGGTGAACGGCTTCATGTATAGCAGTCCTTGACATACACCGGCGCTGAGCGCCTTATGAGTTACCGAAATCGCTAGTAGTAACGTTATGAATCTTGTAATATTGTTGCTTGCCTGGGAACAGTGGATTGGGCGGCTCTGGCGCAACAGTGGATAAAGATGAAGGAAACCGTCGTGCCACCAGCCCCACCGCCACCCAGCATAAATCCCACGTGCTCCGCGAATGATGGCAGCGGCGAGGCACCGATGGATATGGACACCAAGGACGATGACGTGCCTCCCGCGCCACCTGCACCAACCATCAGTGGATCTGGTGAGAGAGAGAGCATTCAATCTGAAGAATCTTGCAATTAACATATGGATGATGAATGACTATGTTACTATTAACGAGAGACATTTTTTAAATGTAATTGACACAATTGACAGAAGCCTGGACTCAGTGGAACCAATGGGGTCACTGGAACCCCTCAACATCCGGGACTGGGAATTGGGAGTGGAGCGGCGTTCCTCCTCCAGGTGTTACCATAGATCCCGACAGCAAACCGATCGGACTTCCAGCTGTACCGGTTATACCACCCGCGCCGACGATATCGACCACTACTGACTTCAACACACCTCCCCCTGCACCATCGCTGTATTCGTACAACTCGATGCCGCCAGGACAATCGTATAATCAGGTAAAGAAATGAAGGGGAATGGAGCTCCTGTGTTCTGGAATGGCGAACAGAACAATTTAGGCTGAAAGAGAATCAGAGACTTTCCAATCCTTGATTCATTCTTATGAATACACATACCTTATTATCTTATATCTTATTATATCTTATTGAAATTGAGATACACAGGGTGTTACAAAATTCGCGAATCAAAATATCATAGCAAGAAAGTCTGTGAAAAATTAAGTAAAAAAATTATTTGAAAATTTTTATTTTAATCAGTAGTTTTTGAGATATAAGAGTTTAAATTTAGCCAATTATAGATTAGTACGCACATGAAATGCGCAACCACTAACCCATTAGCACTAGCAATGGCATTCACGGGCATGTTTAATTGTAATCTATAATTGGTTAAATTTAAACTTTTATATTTCCAAAACTACTGCTTCAAATAAAAATTTACAAATAACTTTTTTATTTAATTTTTCAAAGACTTTCTTGCTGTGATATTTTGATTCGCAAATTTCAGGACACTGTATACCGCTTATTGCTACAACGACATAATTGAAAAATTGTTATGGATGCTTGCAAAAAAAGAATGAATCAAAATTATATTTCAAAGTTAATATTACGAAATTTTAATGATTCAAAATATTCATGATTCAATATTCATTTTGTAGAAAACTGCTTTTTTTAATTGTGTCATTGTTGTAATAAATAAGCGAAAAATATGAAATAATCCGAAATGAATTATTGTTTATATAATTTTCAATTTTTCGATCAATCTCTTACAAAACTAAGGCGTACATGAACTGAGGTTTGAGATTGAACTCGGAATCCATCAACCGCTCTTATATGGAATCACGCGTCACTCTGTTAAGTACCCTATTAAATGCATGTTTATTAGGTTACCAACTATTGGTCCGGTGAGCCGCCTAATGCAGTATCGCCACAGCCGCTTCCCTTCATGAAGGGCATGAGGCACGCAAGTAGAGGACCTCACATGAGAGTTATGGATTCCGTTCGATGTCGAGATGACACCAGAGAAAAGACACCGGAGGAGGATACTACTACGACTATAGGTAAAAATTATAACAGAACAATAATAATAGCTACTATAATCACTGAAGCCGATTCAGCTGATTTGGCAGTTACTTGATAATCTTAATGCGAGTCGTTACATGTTAATGTAAATGCTGTTAATCCATTCTGTGTAGACGCCGCAAAGCGGAGACAACTGCCGGCGTGGATCCGCGAAGGACTGGAGAAGATGGAGAAGGAGAAACAGAAGGCCATGGAGAGAGAGAGGCTAGAGATGCTGAGGAAGCAGGAATTGGAAGCTCGCAAGCAGGCGGAGGACGAGGCGCGCGCGGTGCTCAATCCCAGCAAGAGTAAATTTGTAAGCCAGTTAACGGATCACGCATTGCCCAAACGGCACACTTCAGTCCTCGCGGACCTTCGTGATCACGAAAGATTATACGTCGTCGTCGCTATCTATTTCACAGGATTCGGATTCGGAGAAGGAGATCGAGCAGGATTTTGACGCGAATAACGCACGCGGGCAGCAGTCTGCGGAAAAGAGCTATGACCGCACTCCGGATATCGTTGTACGGCCGCGAAAATCGCGATTCAGGGACGCTGATTCGCCCGAGTCTCATACGGGCCCCGATGAGAGTCCGACCGCTGTGGCTAGTGCGATCCCGATCGTGCAGAAGCGGTCTCGGGAAGAAATTTTACAGGATGTGGTAAGCGGAAGAAATTGTTACAATAATATTGATTTTAAAGTTAACACGTTTTGACTGCCATGTCAACTGTATGGATTTACGCGTTGAAATTTCCGCAAAGATTCCATTCATGGGTGACAGTTTTATTTACTCGATTAAGAATAATTTTAGTAAATAATATTTAAGACATTAAAGAAACAATATAAATTATATTGAGTCATTAAAAAAAAACAAAGTAATATTAAAATAATATACTAGATTCATTAAACACAATGCAGAAAAATTAGCTCGGCAGTTAAAGTGCTAAACATTAACCGAAAAATTGAAATTAATTTACGTTAATATTTTTGTAGCAACAGTTCAATTGATTACAATTAAATCGTATCTTTCGTTATGCAGATGTTGAAAGTGAGGAGATCGTTGACGGAAATACTTCTGGAAGTGACGAACGAAGAGATTGGCGCGGTATGCAGGGAGGTTTGGAGCCGCGCACGTGCCAAAGGTACCCCAGATACACACGATAGAACTAACCAATTGAATTTCCGTGCTTTTGCCCGTCGGGGCGCAGAATCCGATTCAGTGAGCCTACTCGCCGCGCGCTACGCTGCGACGAAGCTGTGCGATTGTGTAATACAAAGTTTTGAAAGCATTAAACAGAGATACCTTAATATGTAGACTTAATTATTCGGCAATTTCAGGACATCCTGTGTTTTGCGTTTTTTCAGGGATTTGCGTGTAGCATAAGGCACATATCTCTCTCTTTTTAGCTTTCGCTTTTAATCACGTAATCGTTCCGTGATTACGTGCCTCGGAGATCTTAGAGACATTTTTACATTACCGGCACCCTTGTGCCAGGCAATGATCTTTCTCGCGATGACGTATCTCTATGATGAAGACTCTAAAATATTATTACATTTTTGTATCATAGTGCAAACAAGTGTTCTCAACAATCTATAATCAGGATTTTTTTCTTAATAAGAACGCCTTAGATATTAAATTAGTAATATTTATAATATACATATAATTAAAACGAAAAACACAACCACCACATCTATCATCTTTACGTCATAAGCATGTTTTACCGCTTGATTTTTATACGCATTTAAAGGCACTTAGCTGTGATCCGAGTCTTTATAAGTATCTCTTAAACAAACTTCGTAATCGAGCATTGCGGACTTTATCCTTCGAAGCTCCCGGCAATGAAAGTTTATAAGCCGCGTAGCAAATCGCGCGATGCCGATGTAACTTTTCCTTTAGGACATTTTTAGAGTTACTGTAGTTCGTTCTTGTAAGTGTGGAATAATGCTATTAAAGATTTCTTAAGGTACATGAGAAGAAAGAGGAAGGGACGCGAAGCGGGACGGTTCGCCCCCCTCTTGCGCGAATGGGCCGATTAATGAGCCATTCGGTGTTAACGGGGGCGTTATCCGTGTGCGGTACCGCACACTTTTAAGCGATTGGTTACTAAATGCGTGTGTATTGTAAGTCCCTGCAGGAGAGACCCCCGTCGCATCCCTCAACATGGCCCCTCTTGCTCAGATCACTCGCGAATCACTCGGTGAGTACGCTTTGACGCTCTTATAATAACGCACGGCGACATCCCGTAGGGAACGGCCGTGAAACGGACGCAGTGACTCGTCAGTGAGAGAAACGAGAGAAAGAAAAGAAAAAAAAAGAAAAGAGAGAAGAGACATACGGGTCACTGCGTGATTGACGCAGAAGTTGCTAGTTCAACTTGTTGAAAACTCGGCCGTTCTCTCGTAGAGATCATTTATCGCCGTAACCGCGAGAGAGGTGTTCCCCCCTCTCTTTCTCTCTCTCTCTCTCTCTCTCCCCCTTCCTTCTCGTTCTTTCTTAGGACGATTCTTGCCAAAAGTAACGGCTGCGTAAATTAGCTGAAGCCGAGCTTTGCGTATATCTTGTTTTTTCCCTTTTTTTGATTTTTCTTTCCGTCGCTCCGACGCCGAGAGAGTGTCGTGACACCGCTGGCGCGCGAAGAACGGATGTAACTCCCGGTTCTGTCTGCCGTAGGTCTGAGCATCTATAACGACAGTAACAGCGAGTCCGAGGAGGAGCAAGGCGAGCATGCGCAGATTCAGAACGACGACAGCGATGAAGAGCTAAAGGTAGGAATTGTGGAATTGCCTTGCAAATACCGCGAATATTATATTTGATACGTAGAAAAATAATTTATAATATTAAAGATATACAGGTTTCCTATCATTGAAGAGATAGGTCTGAAAATTTCGAGTGCTTCGCATTTTGTTATGATTCTGTGATTTCTTGAAGGAAGCAGTCTTCTATTTTCTGGTTTTTTCTCGAGATACCTTGCTTTGCAGATTAAACATAAAAAAATTTTTTTTTAAGTTATTACAAAATGGTAATAACACATAAAACTTTAATTTTTGCGTAAAAATTGACGTTATTTATATTATTACTATTTTGTGATAACATTTTTCTAATATTTATTTTAGATTTAATCTAGAGCAAAGTGTTCTGAGAAAAACTAAATCAGAAAACAGGAGATTGCTCTCTTAAAAATTTACAAAATCATGACAAAACTCGAAATTTTCGGGCTTATTTTCAATAACAGAAAACTATATTTTTAATCAATTTTGCACTATAAATTAACTTATAAATTAACTTTCTACATTTTAAATATAGTAAATATAATATTTAAATAGAGAATATATCTATTTAGTTCTTTTCCTGAAATACAATAATTCGCAAATTTTGCTTTTAATTTAATCAAACAAATCTTTTGTCTCTCCTTAAAGGTAACAGGCCTTAAAATTTTTTTTTAATTTTCTGTCATTTTGTAGAAAAAAAACATAACTTATCATTAAACTTAATAATTCTAAACATTTTTTCCTATTTTTTGTACTTTAAGAATTACATGCGAAATAGTGGAAGCGTTCTTTTGCCTTTAAGGTCGAAATACATTTAAAGGACCATTAGAATGAATAACGTACCGTTATTCATGTATTGAGTGGTCATTAAATGCCCACGAAAGCTGAAGATCTTGAGTTCGCGATGATTCCTTATTAGACAAATTCGTTCCGATTAGTTCGAACCGAGGTGACGCCGTTTTATTCTATGAGTCTATTTCACAGGAAACTCTGAGACGACGGCAGCAGGCGTTCCGCAAGACGGAGGAGGAGATCGAGGCGCGGATCGCCGAGGAGGAGGAGAAGGAGGAGCAGCAGCGCGACGAGGAGCAGTACAGTAATAAGCAACAGGAAAATCATACCGGTAATACTAGCTGCCGAGAGTCAGGTATGTTTCGACAGACAACCCACCCGCATGTGGCCGCTAGGAGACTAAGTGTAACTTCCTGACGTCATACTTTAGTTGATGAAAAAGAAACGGTAGATAATCAGAGAGAAGCGTCCGAGACTTTGTCGAGCGGCGGTCAAAGTCCAACGGCGGCGATGACGGTGGCGGCAGCGACGCCGCAGAGCGCGCCGGCGGCCGACGGCCAGCAGGCGGCGAAGGCGGGAAGCACCGCGTCGGGATCCGCCGATTCCGAGTCGAGCAGCACCGAGTCCACGAGCAGCTTGTCCGAATCGAGCCACGAATCCGCGTCTAAGAAGCATCACGAGAAAACGCGTGCGAGCAAGCAACAGTCGCAGCAGCGCGAGCAGCAGCAACAGCAGCGTTACAATCGACGGCGCAAGTCGAAGAGCAGAAGCAAATCGCGGAGTGGCCGACGATCCACTAGATCGTCGCGCTCGTCCGAACGCGGTGGCGGTGGCGGTGGCGGTGGCGGTGGTGGCGGCCACAAGCGGCCTCGATCACGCTCGAGATCAGCGAAATCACGGAAGGACTACCGCTCGCGATCCTCACGTTCCTCGAGCGATCACAGATCCAGCAGGAAGCGTCGTTCGCGGTCGCGCGACCGGAAGCGCGCGAGGTCGCGCTCGCACAGTTACCGCCGCTCCAGGTCGACGTCCACCGACAGAAAGTGGTCCTCCCGTTCCTCGCGCTCCCGCAGATGGAAGTCACGCTCGCATTCCAGGGAGAGGCGGCGTGACAGCCGGTCGCGCAGCAAGTCGTCGCGGGGAGCGAAGCGCGGAAGATCGCGGTCGAGGACGCGCAGCCGCTCGCGGGATCGCAGACGGTCGAGGTCCTACGTCTCCGGGAGAAGCCAACGACGGGGCAGTCGGTCCAGGTCGCGGGACCGAAGTAGAAAGTCACGGTCCAAGTCGAGCTATCGCGATGGTAAGAAGTCGTCACATCGATACAGGAATTGAGGTCAGGACCCGCTCCTAGCCCAAGGTTGTATATTCATTCTGATTGTAGCTATAAACAGAACAATACGGGAAAAAAAGCAGTGATACATTATTCTTAACAAGTTCGTTGCTTGTAGATTAGCCAAAAATCGAATTCTTAAATTCTTTTTTCTTTCTTTTTTTCGGTGTTACATCATCGCGCATTCGGCTTTCAATTCTTATTACAGCATTTGTGATATCTGACGCAATAATTACAATTGTACATTATATATAAATCCCGTTTCAACGTGATGCAGAAATCTGTGGTGCTTGGCAAGGAACTTTTTCTTTCTATTCACCCTCCTGCTGTTTGGATATTCTCTTACAATTGCACGCGCGCGCGCGAGATGATTGTAGATTACAATGGACATTTATATATTTTCGCTTCTTTATATAGTTTTATGCAGTTTATGTTGGAAAAGAGTCAAGTTATGCAAAAAGAATATAATTTGTCGTTATATAAAATAAAAAGCAGTGAAAGTTTTGCTCAATCTTTTTTTTTTTGATGGTCGAGTAATGGCAATTTATATGCAATAGAATTACTTGATCACTTTGTAAATTTTCTATAGGTATGTTATGATAGAGATTTATTATTAGATTTAGTCGTAAGAAATAAAAATTAAAGCGATTCAAGATTTGTCAAAGATTGTTCAAGATTAGTAAACATTAATTTTCCTAGCCATTGAGTAATCTTCGGAATAAACGATTTTTCTCGGAAGAATCTTTTTCTTTCACAAATAAAGATTTTATGTATATTAATATAATTAAATTTTTATATATTATAATATAAACACATGTATGATATTAAATTAATACAATATATATTTATATTATAATAATATATTTATTATATAAATATATTAATATAACATAAAATTTATAGATTTGTTAGCATCTAATCTGAATTTCATTACTTTTTAATATCTAAAATTCTTATTTTGCTTGTTTTCAAAATTATATTTAGCGATATTGCATATCTCCAAGTAACTAGTCACATGCGTTTTTAATGCATAATAAAGTTACGTAATATATTGATAGTGCAATGTATGTACAAACGATTTATACATATATGGATATTAGGCAATTATTAATTTACTTTCGGTGAAGAGATTAGTTACTTCAGAGTTCTCTGAGAGAATCTATTAGGATATATATTTTGTAAAGAAATTAGTGTATGACGAATAGCTTTGAAGATATTTTAAATGCATCCTTTTGTTTAAAACGTTGAAAAAAATAATATAGCATTCACAAAATGTTCATGAGCAGTCATTTGTTCTTTTGTAAGATGCAGTTATTCCTTGCGAAATAATAACAATTTAAAGCAAGACACAATTTTAATTTTCCGACTTTTTAAACGTCGGAATTATAAGATCCTCGCAACTTGTAGGAACACGCGCATCTTTATATTATACAGTGAAGACTACTTTTGTATAAATAAATAAATATTTAATAGCATTCAGTAAGAGGATTCATGTGGATTCTTATTTATATACAGGGAGTGAAAAATAAATTCGCGCACTTAGTCATTTTTGGAATAATTTTGTAAAAAAAAAAAAGGAAAATATTCCTGCAATGTACTTTATTTGACACATTGATGCAAATGAAATGTTTGATAGGAATTTGCAGTAATGCCTTTCTCCGTTTCTCATATAAAATTATTCCAAGCAAGATTGTGTGCGCAAATATTTTTTTTATTTAGTATCAAAATTAATATATTATGTTTCTAATTATGTACACATTTAAATAAGCGTTGCAATTATATAATTGGATTCGATGAACACTTCAGTATCAGTAACGTGTGATTTGTATACGAGGAACGGTAAATGTGTTTGAATTTTGATAAGAGAAATAAAAAAAGGAATGCTTTGTGCGGACTTTGTAATGAGTATCGGCCGAAGTAATCGATCGATAATCTCGTAGAATTGAATTCTGTGCGCCAGGATTTCGACACGAGTCCTAGAAATCTTGTTTTGTTTCAGCATCTCCCACTGGCTTCCGCTCGGCTTCGATGTTTCACTATGATTCAGTTCGTCGACGTACACGACATTGTGGTACAGTTATAATTTTTTGAATATACGCATCACGTTCAATCTCCTTCTCTTAGATAGTGTACAAAAAAAAGTCGCAACGCTACACAATAAATAGTAATACTTATGACTATGTGTTATAGACTCGGCTAATATTACTCGCTCTAATGTACAAAAGTCGTATCTTTCTTTTCTAAAAAAAAAGAAAAAAAGAAAAAAGACAAAGGCGTAATCAAAATTTATACGATTACGAGAAAGACGAACGTGAAATAAAGTTGATGCAAAACTATAATCGAAGTGGTCCTCGTGTCTTCCCTGAAGCAATTCCCATTCACGTTAGAATTAGAAAGGCTCCGTTAGACTTGACATTCGGTCAAGTTAATGAGGTATCCAGAATACACGAGCAGCAAATGCTTAATCCAAACCGTTCACAATAAATCGTCGTAAACGATGTTCGCGAGTCCTGCGTTTTACCTTTACGATATGGAATTCATCCTTTTAATAAGATGATCGTAGACGAGATCTCGTATGTGCAGACCGTACACGAAATCGAAGTGACTCAGTCCCTTTAGCGTCACCGTGTATTTCTCCAAAATATTCGGCAGTTTTCTGTACAATAGCTCAACGTCCTAGAATAAATAATAAAAAAAATATTGAACTTGGCATTTTTTTTAATGCGAAGTTGAAGACACGAGTATCTTGCATTACGCTTTATGTATACAACGGCAAATTACGTGACACGTTTAATTACATTCAGATCGGCCAAGACGTCGTTCAGGCCGTTATACAGGATCACCGAGGCCGTGATCCTTTCCAGGGGATACTCCGGCGGCACGAATCGCTTGTATGTTATAAGATTTTTTAACGGGCCGTAATCGAAAGGCCGAAAATGTCCTGCAAGAGAAGCGATTCGATTGCAAAAATGTAAGGACGTAGACGGTTTTCGAAATAATACGAGCACACTCCATGGAAAATTCAAAATACACTACTTGACTTATTAAGAGATTGCCCCACTATTTGTATCTGATATACAGATTCTATCTTGTTGGAAATTCCAACTCGGAATAGAGTTGTATAAGGCTCGAATATCGTCAGTGTAATAACAATACTATTCTTCTAGTAGAACATCTTCCAATTATCTACGAGATATTGGAGAAATCGGTTCTCACTCTGCTCTTTAAAACTGCTTATAATGATTCGATGATATTGATTGCGCTACCAGAAAAGACGTTGAAGTTTTGAAAAACCGGAAAATTTTGGAAAATAGAATAAGAGGAAAATTTTCGCCTCCTCTAACATTACTTGAATAAACGTTTATTAAAAGATAGTTTATAAAAAGAATAGTACAACATTCTATAAGTGACTATTCAAGCATTATGTGACTTTATTTCAACAAGGATAAAATTTATATTGAAGGCAAATGGTGGACCAACTTGTAACCAAGTAGTGGGTTTTCCAGGATTTTGCAGTAAAAAAACATTTTGTATTTGTGTTAAAACTAATCCTTGTTAAAATTTTGAATATAGTCGAGCGTTAATTTAACATAATGCGATTATGTCATTGAATATTTTGTGTCAAATTGATATTTAACATTTCTTAGTGATAAAATACATAAAATAATGTAGTTTTGAAACGTATATTCTAAGATAAATGCAAAGATAAAAGGTGAATATACATGTTTATTTAACATATTATAAATAATTAATTTTACTGAAGAAATATGCTTTCACATTTTGTTTTCAAATTGTATCAAAGTGGTACATTCTTTGTGTTAATTTTTACGTAATATTCTGTATTTATATTTTTATAACGTATTCATTTTAGGTTAACAATATCAAAATTTAGGACCGTTTGAGATACGTGAAATGTGTCACATTAAACACATTTTTTTCCTGTGCACATTATTTTGTCCAACTCTGTAATTTGAATAAAAAACCTTCGATCTTACAAGCTCGTAATTAAAAAATCGAACGCCGAGAAACTGATATACCTGGATTCTGAATACCCAACGCGTAGTGAACCAATTGCTTATACGAGCATCCCGCCGGCGCGAACTGCAGATAGTCCGCCAAGTGCGCCTGAAAATATGTAACGTTACTTCACGTAACCGAATTGGAGTCACGTTTGACCCCGGAACCGACTTGTGATAGCTTACGTAATCCACTTCTCCGATGCTGAAACCTCCGACCATGTTTACAATCAGTTGGCAAAAGGGTTGAGTGATATAGTCTTCCTGACAGAAGGTATGCGTTACGAATTTCTCCATTTCCGTATTCGCTAACAGTTCGAAATATCCAGTGAACTTGAAAAGTCCCTGCCGATTTGAGTCGATATAACAATCAGCACGAAATAAAAGATCTCACCTCGCAAGATCTGCTTCCTTTAATTTTATTCTTACAAACGTAAAATGAAAGTATTTCATCGGAAACGTTTAAATGTCTTTTATTAACGAAAAGATAGTTCCAGTTTTATAATAAAATTATTAAATATACGAGAAGCGCGTTCAAATTTAAATTGTAATTCAATAATTTTTTTTGTATAATTGTTGAATTATAATTTAAATTTGAATGCTTTTTGTATATATGTAATGATTTTATTTTACGTAAGTATAATGATATCGTTTTTTGTGTTTGTAAAGAAAAAGTTATAGATTATAAAAGATTATATGATAATATTCTTCATATTATTTATAAAATAATATACACTTTAGAAGAATGGCTTCCGACAGTTATTTGCATTTCTTCCTTGAGGTTCAAGTTTCGGAAATCATTTTAATGGGACACTACCCGATACCTACCTTAAAAAAATCCGCGAAGAAGCTCAGAGGTTTTAGTATACCGCCCATGCCACCGCCGTAAGCCACGGGGGCTAATGCGGACATAAGCTTGATTTTTTTATTGTACTCCGGCTTGAGGGACATAAGAACCCAAAATTGCGTTGTGCCTTGAGAGAAGCCTACATAGAACAGCTGCTCTTGGCCGGTTTGATACAGTATGTAGTCTATCATAGCCGGCAAATCGTGCATACCCATCTCGTGCCAGCTAAATAGAATACATGCGGGAGAATTATAACTGATTAATTATTAACATACAATAGATGTCATTACGAAATTACACAGTTGTGTTATAAATTCTGTTACTAAAATTAAAAAAAATGGATTTATTTTGTAACTAAAATAAAAAGCGGCATGAAACGTATACTCGTTTTATTGACAGAGAAAGAAAGAAGGAGAATTGATTGACCAATATAAAAACTGCATTGAATATAACTCTATTACGTAATCTATCAGAATTTTTTGCTCATTCCATATGATTAATATGGAATGAGCAAAAAATTCTGATAGATTGCGTAATAGAGTTATATTCAATGCAGTTTTATGGTTTAATATTTAATGCCTATAAGCAGAATGGCTGACTTATAATCTTAAGACAAGTTTTATGACTTTGTTTTTAGTAACGCACAATACAGTCTTGTATCTCAAGTCTTAAACTGTAAAGCTAATCTGTTGTGAAGAACTGTTATGTACGTAATAACAAAAGCATTACTAACATTATATTAATACATGCAATAAAGGTACACTCGCTCATTAAAAGATTGCGACACTTTTTTTTTATAGGTTTCTAATTTATATTTAATATACGTAATATATATTTTATAGATAACTAATATTTTGCAAATGCAAACCACGATGTACTATCTTTAGTTTAAAAGCAGTATAACACCAATCGTGGTCCGCATTTGCAAAATATTAATGCGTTTTGAAACCTATAAAAAAGAAAGTGTCGCAACCTTTTAGTGAGCGAGTGTACATATATGACGTTATGTAATAATAAATAACATTAATTAATATTAACTATTTACTTGTTAATTCACCTTTAACCTAATCCTAATTCTTTTCTAAAAATGGTAAGGTAACTGCAGTTATTTTTTAATAATAAAAATAAGTGTAATAATAATTAATTAGTAATTATAATTAATAATTAAAAAATATAATAATATTATATTGATAATAATTTTATTTTATATACATGTATAACAATTGCTTTTAACTTGTCAATTTATCTAGACTATTCTAATTTTAATTATAAAAATAAGATATAATTATTAGCCACACTGTATCACTAAACACTTTAGATATTTAAGACACAAGACAGTTATTATGCGTTATTAAAGACAAAGTTATTAAAGACAAAGACCTAAAGTCATAAATCTTGTCTTATAATTAGTCAGCCATTTTGTTTAAGCCCTTACAAATGTTAATATGTTCGTACTATTAAAAAGATTACTCTTACCAAATTAAATGATTTTATTTCATTAGTTTTCAACTAAAATTAAAATGAGCATTGAATTTATTTTTTAATCATGATAAACGAATTTTGGAGAGAAACAGGGACAATACTGGAGAAAATGCTGTTTCGATTCTTGATTTGTGAAAGTTGAGTTACAAAATTTAAACGGGGAGATTTTTATCTCGAAGACCAGTCGCGCACTCTGATCTTCTAATAATGACGAAATGCCGTGTCATTGATCTATCACAGTCTTTAACCTTCAGTTATTATTTGTGTTGAAATCCGTTGATTAATACCAAATTGCGTATGTCGTCATTATTTAAGAGACAAGGTCTTTCCTATAAAATTTAGAAGACTTGTTCTAAACCTTATCGAAGTATCGAGAATCTGAGATCTGGTTGAAAGGAACAGTATTTTGAAATTTTGTGTGCCGTGGGAATGTAAACCTCGACTGTTTCAAAAAATTTGTGACATTTTTAGTTAACTTTTAATAGTTACTTTTATATTATAATTGGTCGAGTACATTCAAGATACGTTCTATGCTGTTTTTTTTTTAATTTAGTTATGAAATAAATCCATGTTTATATAGCAGAAAATGTATTCACACGACATAAATATGTAATGATATAGTTAAATATTATCTATGATATGATATATTAAATATTATCTATAATATTTAACATTAAGATTCGAATTTAGCGCGATTGAGGAATCTTTTGAGAAATGCGGAAATACGATCCTATCATATTTCTCACAGTTAAGCCTACGGAAATGAAGTACAAAAATCCTACGCGAATGTCGGAATTTTAACGTCGAGTGTTGGTCGCGAAAGCGTGAGAGACGAGATGAGTGGGCAGTTTCGAAGTTTCGGAGTTTTGCGATACCTGAAGTCCCAGAATTCAGCGCTTTGTATGGAAAGATACGTGTGGTTTTTTGAATTCGTGGTCCCGCGGGAGTTGCCGAGCCACACGTCATAGCCGTCGTCAGCCAGAAGATAAGCTAGATGACATTAAGGGCAATTCTTTAACTCTTCGATACTCGCTATTAAAATATATATAAGCTAAAGAAGAGGAACGCAAGACTGTTCTGATCTGATACCGATTGATCGATTCCGACCCGTTACCAGCCAATCCATTGAACATCCCAACAATCCGTGCATGATCAACACCACTCGATGATTCTCAACGGTTTTATTCGAACGATTAGGTATTCGATGAACGGCTAATATGTACCCGTCATCAGTTGTTACATGGTGAAGTTCAAAGGGATAGCCACTCTGTCTTACTCTATCTTCCTAAAAGTAACAACAAATTTGTTAAAGTTTATTATCTATTATTGTTTAAATTAATTAAAAGTTAATTATTTGTTATATATTTAAAAAATATAATAGTTGATAAAAATTAATAAAAAAATATATTTTTTCAATTATTAATTATATTTTAAGCATAATAGATTAAATATAATTATATTTGTAAATAAATAATTGATTAAGTACAATTATACTTCAAGTAAATAATAAACTTATACTTAAATCAGATAATAATATTTGAATTGACAACTAATTATTGATAGTTAATTTTTAATTATACTTTAAATTAAAACATAACAATTAAAAGTTTGATATTTTAATATTTAAATTTATTAAATTAATAAATTACAATGATTTAATATACCAATTAATGTATTACAATAATTCAGTATGTCAATGGGAATCTCCGCAGATATAAACGCGTGGACTATTTTAAAGACAAGAAAATTTACTTGCGTAAATAAAATACATACAGTTTCAACAATCAATACTTACTTAACGATCTTGAAATATATATATGAAAGTCACCTTTACAAAGTAAAGTTTTTGTAAAACAAAGTAAAAAGTAAAACAAAATTTTACAACAATTTTATTTTGTAAAGGTGACTTTCATATTTTCCTCACCGAAGAGGACTCAGAGCAGAGTCGAAACGTTCATTAATAGTGTTAAGCAAGTATTGATTGTTGAAACTAAAAGGAATTTATTTAAGCAAGGCAATTCTCTTGGCTTTAAAATAGTCCACGCATTTATATCTGCGGAGGTTCCCATTGGCATATTAAATTATTGTAATTTATTGATTTTATCTTGGGATTATTTTGTAATTAATTTTATTTACATTATATTTAATTATTTATTAAATTAAGTTTGTCATTAATAAAGTAGTGTTGAAAGTTTTAAGATTTTGTATACGTTCCATCATTGTTAAAATTTTTTTTGACATTTTAATTTGTGATAAGTTTACAATTTCGAAGTCGAGAAATAAATTTTTACGGTTAAACTTATTATATATTTCACTGTGAAAAAAAGTTTTTGAACCATTTTTCTAGATCACTTCACTTACGACCAATAAATTGGAATCGGTTGTCGGAGGGAACAATCCGCGTGTGCGAAATAGACCGTTTATTTGAATGACACATCCATAATATAGCAGCGAGATAAAACACCAGTGAGTGAGCATTTTCTCAATATAACAGTCACTTTTACAAAATGATATGCACCACGTATTATAATATATGGTTTACTTTACACAGCTTCCCGCGTTATCGTAATTTTAAATGGAGATTTAAACACATTATGCACTAATGATGTATACAGCACTATTACAGAGTTATATCGATCAATTAAAAGAAACTTTACGCATTATCAAGACTAAATAATTCATGAATTAATGTACGTTTTCTTTGTGATTAAAAACGTAATTATATGTAAGACAACAAAATCGTGTGTACACTTTGAGAGATCGGAAGTAAAACGCGAGACGACGCGAGGAAGCGCGAGCAGTCTTTTAAATAGTCGCAGGAGATTCCTCTCGCGCACCTTTATTCATCCCGTGGTTTCCCATTCTCCTCGCCCTTCCGAGGTGATAATTTCAGTAGGTCTCTACTTCCACGCGCGTCCTGACGAATTCCGTTTCCGTAAATTGCCACCCCCGCCGTTCTCGTCCCGCGGAGCTCGTTATCTGCAGGCTTTGTGTCGCTCACGTATGCCGAGGCCGCGATAGTTTTTATTAACGACACGAATCGCCGAAAGCCACGACGGCGATATTACCGGGTAGACGAGGGGGACGGCCGGGAGAACGATGAGATACATGTCCACGCGTCCCGACGCGCGATTACGGCGGCGCGGTAACGATTTATTGCATTGACGACCTTTTCGTGAAAAGACTCGCTCGTCGCATAATTACACCGGCACACAAAAAAAAAGTAGTTTGTGCATTTGAAAAAATTGCAAAAAATCATGAAAAACCGAAGTTATGGAGATGAAAAAAATCTTGTGGATCAAGATCGAGTATAATTTTTATGTATCTTGTTTAACATGTTAATGGGCTAAATAAACTTCAGATTCTAATGCAGTGGAACAAGATACATAAAAATTATACTCGATCTTGATCCACAAGATTTTTTTCATCTCCATAATTTCGGTTTTTCATGATTTTTTGCAATTTTTTTCGGTTTTTCGCTGATTTTTCAAATTTTGATGGCTCAACGGGCTAATTAACCTTCAGATTCGAATTCAGCGGATCGAAATACATAAAAATCATACTTGATCCGGGTCAACAAAAATGTTTTCATCGCTGTAATTGCAGTTTTTCATATTTTTGGGGGGTTTTTTGCATTTTACTAAAATCTGGGACCTGACCTAGCCCAACGGACCCCAAATTCGGATTCAGCGGGTCGAAAAACATGTCCGTAGATGGGTCCGGTCAAATGCACAAACCACTTTTTTTTTTGTGTGCCGGTGAATTATTAATGTAATATTTTGTACGTGTGTAACTGATAATACCGAATCTTCAAACGCGATGACGTCATTAGGTGCCAGCCAGTTTGATAGTGTCAGTAAAATTTTGCGCGCAATAATGCATTTCGATGATTAACTACGTCAGAAATTTTTCAGCGCCACGTGCGATGTCGCGAAATCATGAATTCAACAATCTTACCAGAAATATTTCTGCCAATTAATGTAACATACTCTGTCTGTCAAATCTTCGCTGACCTGCACCATTACTTAAAAGTTCGATTTGTCTTAGTTAATATTTTTTTCTTAATTTGAAATAGACGTTACATACATATTTACCATAGTTGTGATTAACATAATATTGTTTAATTTCAAGAAAACGGACTGCGGATGTCTCTTTTTAAAAACTGAGTTCGGATTATTTCAGAAAGGCAAAAGTGTGGGCTTTCGTCAGAAAAAACTTTAAATTACCTAGATTAGTAAAAAAAGTAATTAAATCTAAAGATGACAAAACTATTTTGACAAACTATTTCGACAAAAAAGTATCTAATATTCTTAAGTGTTTTTCTTGTAAAAAACAATTTTTATAACAATTTTAATATTTTTTAAATCTTTTATTGAATTTTATCTTTGTGTATACGCCCACATAGCGCACACGCGCGCGAAAAATTATACAGAAATATTATAGAGGATGTTCAATAAATCCGCAATACACGTGTGTGCGTGTGCGTGTGCGTATGTGTGTGTATTGAATTTTACCTTTGTGTGTGTCTGTGTGTACACACACAAAGGTAAAATTCAATAAAAGATTAAAGAAACATTCACGAAGAAAAAGTTGCGGTTGCTACAACAGGATAATGTTATTTTTCGCCCATCTGTACAAAATGTTTATCTGTATAAAATGTTTATAGGAATCAGTACTCTAAAAGTGACTTATGTTTGCCCCAACTTTAGTGAGGATAACTGCTATATGGATGTACAACCTTAATGACTATCTCTAGAAATTGTTTCTGTAACCATAGAGGAGACCGGGGACAAAAGTAACATTTTGAATTTAAAGTCTTATAACAGTTAAATTATAATATTTACATTTAAAAAACCCATATCTTTAGATGTAGAATTTATTTAAGTACATAATTTTCTTGTGTTCAATCTTGTAATGTAACTAGGAAAAAAGTTATTACTGTTTAAACACTATGAGGAATACTGTTACAACTGTCCCTAGCCCCAGGGACGGTTGTAACAGTAGAGGGGGACGATTGTATTATATTATTTATAGGCAAACACTTAGCTATTTATTAAGTATTATGCAATACAATTATTTATAATCATATATGTCAATGTTATATGGATATATATAATATATATTTAGTAACTATAATAAAATAAAAGGACAAAATCTATAAAACCGAAAAAAGCTCTTTTTCTTTTTAGTTTTCAAGTTCAAATAACATTGTGAAAAATACATTTAAGTAAAACCAAGCAAATCTGGAGACAATTATAACGCTACAACCGCCTCCAGGCATCGATGTTACAATTGTCCCTCAATGATATTTTATAATTCGAAGTAAAGTTTCAAAATAAATATATAGATGAAAATCAATTAAAATATTCAAATCATCAACATAAATGATCATTAAAACCTTTTTAGATAACACGTTATAACTTCACCATTAAAAAACAAAAATATTTTAGATTTTGTGCATATAATAAGACTTATTTGAAATGAAGAAGGTATTTTTTGCTTCTGCTCATGTGCACGTTTCATGTGGACCGATAAGGAACTAACAAACCAATGTCAGTCTGTCTAATGATTTTTGCCTCACCGCCACATACATAAGTAGTTTTAAAAACATTCACGATGTTACAACTGTACTCTGTTACTTTTGTCCCCGGTCTCCCCTATAGTTATACTTTACATTACACGTTATACTTTATTTTATCTTAGGATAATGGTACAATCCTTATATGTGGATGAAAATCATATATTATAATATAGTAGAATTATCTCCTTAGTATTGCGATAAAAGATATTTGTAAGAATTTGAAAGCGTATTTGTTATTACTGATAAAATACTGATAAAATACCGATAAAATTTAATTTAGAAAAGTGTATTTCTCAAGCGAATATCATTATAGTTGATCACCATTATCTTCCTGTCACTTATTTCTCTAACAGCGAGCTTTCTGAGACAATGGCATATATCTTACAAGATTGTTCGGTGACTTGTTGCTAAAATGACTAGTGGCAAAAGAACTTTCTAACACTGATCGATGTAGAAAGAGAAAGTAAACAGTTTAAATATAAAATAAATAAATATTAATATTAAATATTTTTTATAGCCAATTTACTTAAAACTAAAATCGTACATCTACAATAACGAGAATCGCAACATACACTTGTAACACATTTGTACATACTTTATTTTGTTCTTCGCGAGAATATAGGCAATGATATACAGGTAAGTAAATACTGCAGCTGCAATGGAACTGAATTCTTAGTGCTGTATCGTGCAACTATATTTTATAGATCTCTTAATCACATTATTTATTCTGAAAACCACATTAAAGAGACAACAATAATCTTTCAGTTGAGGCAACCTCATATATGAGAGTATTCTAATCAAATATTATTTATCCTAAAAGTCAGAGTTGTGAGAACAATACTGATAGGTATAGCTTAACCGATGTATTCAATATGTAATATCTTAATATAACTTAAATTCACATAAATTTCTTTTTCAAACATAGGGAATATTGTTGTAACAACCACAGCAATTTTTTCCGTGTTAAAATTGTTATAAAAATATTATCTTTTAATAAAACTGCTTACTTTATACTTACAGCCAATACATAATGCAGGGTCCGGCCGAATAATATGTACAAGCAAGCATGACGATAGTTACTTATGAAAAAAATAGAATAAAAATAGAATAAATAAATTTTTTTTATTTTTGGCTTAGTTTTCGAGTTGGAAAATTCGCTGCTTATGCATGCTGCTGTAGCTAAGATTCGTCGAGTGACGTATAACGCGTATTATATTTATAAACAACGTTCTACTGTGCCAAACAATCAGTTTTCATTTAAATATCATGACGATAAGTTACACAAATCGGGATCGAATGTATCGATATGATTCGAGCTTTGGGAGTCTGTATAATAATTTATCCTACTGTTCGCTATTACAGAGATGAGCGATGTCCTAATCGGTGTGTTTCTTCGAAAAATTCAAAGAGTAGAGCGAAGTCTTTTAGAACATGGATCTTTTGCACCATGACAATTCTGTTGCACTAAAAATTTTTTTTGTGCTTGAAGTCAATAGTTTTCAAATGTAGATATTGTTTATAAACACGATATGCGTTATATATAATTGCTCGACGAACTGTACTTTAGTTTATTTAAGTTGTAAAAGCGGCGAATTTTCAAACTCGATTTTCTCGAAAACTAATTGTAAGTCAAAAATAAAAAAATTTTATTTTATATTTTTTCTTATTTTTTTCATATGGAATCACGTCGTACCCGCTTATACATATTATTCGGCCAGAACCTATATATGCAAAATGTATCTCAAATAGAGCTCACTAATTATATATAGCGTTATTCCTTATAAAAAATTAAATAAAAAGTCGTGAACCATTTTTTTTCTACAATGCTTAATGAAATTATTGCAATAATTATTGCTTCATTGAGTATTGTAGAAAAAAAAGGTTCTTACGGGAATGCAAACGCGACGGCCGAATTCTATAATATCGCTATTTTACCGATTTGTGCGTATGTGTGCGACATGATGTAATATTATATATATATAGTATGTATAAGTGATGTATTTATGTTTATTACCACATCAATATCGCAAACATACATTGTAACAAATTTTTATGTACACATTTTTCGAAAATTAAATATCCATAAATTCTAAAAACTCAATATTGTTTCTTCGTGTAATTTACTAGTCTAGCCATCGCAATTTCGTAAGTACGAGTTGCAGATCTCTTATATCAAGCACATGCTGTCTCAACTTGATAGCTCTAAATGCAACATACGACTAAGAAAT